GTGTGTGTGTGTGTGTGTGTGTGTGCGCGCGCGTGTGCGTGTGCGCATGTGTGTACATGTATGAACTAAAACTATACGTTCTCGGCATTATAGGACATCTGTCTGTCTCTCAACACCACAGACTTGCACTGAGTGAGGTATCAGCCCTGCTAAACAACTGTGAATGTGGCTGTAGAGTCCAATTCTTGGATGACAGTTCCTTCAGTTTCTCATGTGATAAGTGCAGAAGGGACTGCCACTCGAGAGCTGAGCTCTGTGGCCACATTCAAAGATGTTCAACAAGCGGATGCTTCACTCAGTGCAGACCTGTTGTCTCAGGAGACAGGTGCCTTATAATACCTTATATGTATAAATAATAGGTAGGGATGCACTGATAAAGATTTTCTTGGCTGATACCAACAGCCAGTGATTAAGCACGCATACTGGCTGATGCTGATCGCATAACCAATATTTAGTAGTAGTGCAAGGATTTTAAGCTACTGGTATAAATGAACCTTTTTGTTTGTTTGTTTTGCATTTCAGAATGCAAACAACCTGCCTGCTCTGGCCCTTGATGAGGAACGCAGTGACCGCCTTATTCCCACACACATCACCCTTTCACCCACAGCTCCCTACCTGCAGCCCTGCTCCTTGAGCTGCAGTCCTAGATGGGCAGGGTGGACCCTTGTGTGGACAGCAGTGCTGGGTGCGTTAGGAGCTGCAGAGCAATCTACTACCTCAGCCCCCCTGGGCCCCGCACAACCAAGCTCCTGCAGCTGCCAGGGAGAAGCCATTTTTGCAAAGGTGCCTGGTGCCTGGCAGAGCAGAATATCCCTCATGCGGTGCTTTACCCCTCCTGTGCACAGCCCAACATCTCCATGGCAGTCCCGGTGCTTAGGTTCCTGCTGTGTGTGCAGCATTGCCATGGCAGTGGCAGTAGCAGCAGGAGCCAGTAACAGTCCCTTTGTTGCTGAGCATGGCACCCGGTGACCACTCGCCAGCGCCCCCTCCCACTGCTCTCTGGGAGCTGTAGTATGCTGTGGGCTTGGGCTGGTGGTGGGACATAGGGACTGGACTGCTCACCAGGGTGCTCTGGGCATGCAGCCATAATTATTGGCTACAGTGACCAAGAAAAGCCAATAGCCAATAATGTCATGTCTCTTTTTATCGGTGCTGATCTGCTAGCCAACCAGTATATCGGTGCCCCCTAATAATATGCTATATAAACTCAAACTATACATCTTAAGTGTGTTTTTTTTTCTTTTTACAAGAGGCAACAATTTCTTAGGCTGATATTTTTATTGGATCAACTATGCAATTTGAGTAAAATTAGACAAGCTTTTGAATGCAGGACATTCTTCACACACACACTTTATATATGTGTGTGTGTGTAAAGCTTGACATTTAAGGGGTATAGCTTTAGTTTGCTTTTAGATCATACACCTCTGGACAATGCTTCTCTCTCTCTCCAGCTGTCTATAGCAGCTAACATCATGGGGCCTTAACCTTGATTGAGACACCTGGGTACCATTAATATAACTGCATAATAAATATAATTGGGAAGCCTCATAAAGTGGCATTTGGGAGCACTCTGAAACATAATTCACTTTTATATCCTTACTCAAAGAATCTCCTTTGCTTCCTTAATGCCTCCTTTCTTTCTTAGGCTAATTGCGAGAGGTGATGTCCTCCTACAGATGATGAGAAAACAGGCTTGGGCTCTTCTGTTTGTCTCTCCCTTCTCTTGATTCTTCCTTTTGTGGATGGAGGCTACTCTGGCAGTTCAAAACAGAAGTGGCTGAGCTGGAGTCAGCCAGGCTGTGGTTATGAGCTTAAGCATATGCCTTATTTGTGACATCACTGGAAATCCAAGTGCTCCCTTTTTTAGATATTCCAAATTCTTGAAATCCCCTTAAATTCAGATGCCCACATATAAAAGAATCATTTTAGGAGAAAAGTCATTGTAGGAGACTTGTAGTTTTAAGCAAGTGGCTTATTTTTAGGTGGTCATTGTTAGACTTGGAAGTCCTAAAACTCACTTTATAAACCATACTGCTGCACATGAAAAAACACTGCAGGAAAATACTTGTATTTACAGGTACTACCCTGCTGCAGAGTTTATCAATTTCCTGAGGCCTAATAGGGCTACATGTGTGGATGTCAAGACTTTTACTGCAGATCATATTAGGCAACTTTGCAGTAAATGTCTTGTGTAGATGCACCCAGAATGAAGAATCATAGCTCTGGACCAAGTCTGCCTAGCTGTGTCAGTTGCTAGCCTCCAGCAAGCAGAGCTGTTTCCTCTTGGGTCAGTAGTCCTGTGCCTACATATTATACACAACTATTATAATGTGTATAATTATAATAGATAATATATTATTTCGTGGAATAGATAGACCGTAGCAAACCAATCATACTACTCTGAAGGTTTAGAACAGAGGTCTGCAACCTACAGCTGATGGACTGGATCTGGCTTGTGGAGCCCTGGCTTCAGCAGGGAGCTTTCCCTGCACTACACTGCAGTTAGGGCTTTGATGCAAGGGGAGGCTTCCCTGCACCACTGTTTCAGACTTGCAGCAGGGAGAAGCAGCAGAGGTAGCCAAGTCCTAGTGCTGACTTGCCTCAGACCCAAGCTGGGTCATTTCCACATTCCCCCCCACCCCAAAAAAAAAGTTGCCAACTTGTGATCTAAAAGCTAAAAACTAGGGCATTGATCCCAAAGGTCCTGTTCACATGAGTTTATCTTTCTATGGTTTGCAATGGATGAAGTTTATTTTAGAGGAGGTTCGTTTTAAAATAGTTTCTGTTCTATGAAAGTTTATGTTTAGGAGGTAAATATTAAAATCACTTACTATCCATATTTGGCTTTTTTTTGTTTAGGGTTATCCAGCATGTCTTCACTGACAGAAAAGGACAGACCTGTTGCTCAGCTGTTACTGAATACTGGCACTTGCCCACGATGTGTTTTCAGATTCTGCTGTGTGGGATCACAGGAATCTTACAGGCGTCCACACAAGGTTTCCTGTTTTGTTTTTTTAATTAAAATATAAGAACATGAAGGTGTGGGGCTTTTTTACACTTCTCTTGGACTTAACGTAGTTGCACCAATATGCAACTTTATGAACGCCAGTCAGTTATTGGTGGTGTCAGTACTTGGATCTGCAGGCCTGAGAGGAAGAGGTTTAGCAGACTAAGTTAAGGTAAAATCATTGCTTCTTATCTTCTACAATGTAGCTTTATTGATAGATGAATTGGAAGCATGCCACCATTTCAGTCAGTGGGGTGTGATTATTGAATCTGATCTTGAAAGTTGTGAGTGTTTTCTCTAGGATATTGAGTAACCTTCTCTGTATTTATCCGTACCCCATTTTGTAATGCTATTTTATACTAAATGTTAATACAATATGCTTCCTGGACACAAAACTGGGAGGTCACATCTCAAGACATCTGTAATACGTTTCTTCATTACAAAACAAGAAAGACTGCTACATTGCGCATAACTTAAACATTGTTTTTAGACATCTATCTGGCAGTAAATTATCTCCTTTGGAAGTATATCCTAAGCATAAAGATTTCTCTTTGTGCATATGTTTTAAATTTAAACTTACTGTCATTGAAGTCTGAAAGTATCACACTGGAAATGTCATTTACTGGCCAAGTTCTTAAATGAAAATAGCATTAATAGTATCTTACAATAACATTTATAGTGGTACAACTCTGCACATATCCACTCCACTGAAATGCAGCCATCTTTATAGTAGACCGTAAACACTAACCAGCATAGATTGTTCTGTATAGTTGTTACTAGAGAGGAGTTGATTAAGAACCGTACAGCAAACTTTTATCATTATGAAAAGCACTATGGTATCTCTGTTGTCTATAAAGACTAGAAGTTCCATATAAATCGCTATATAGGGATCACAGTTTATCAAAGTCTGAAGAATGAAATCAGCAGTGTATAGCCTTCTGAGTTTGAGGACCAGACATTTTGTTTCAAAAAAGATCAGGGAGCCGTATTCAGTA